GTCTTCTTTGGCAGATTCTTCTAAGAGATGCCTTTCTCCCTTTGGTCCCTAACATTGATTACTGGAGCATAAACCTAAGTGTTGGAGAGCACTGAGCCACAAAGACCACACGCAGTTCTCTCCTCCCACCCAGATGCAGTGGCAGTGAGGAGCCCTGGCCATGCCCAACATCTCAGACCCCCAGGATGGGTACCACCAGGGCTCGCTGCATGACCCACACGTTGGGAGGGCTTCCCTTTACCCATGCTGGCACATAGGGATGATGAGGAATGAAAGATTATGCTAAAAAGACTTTTCCCACAGGGGAAAGCACCACATGCCTCTGGAGCAGATAGCCCAAGCAGGTTAGGGCAACACCTCCACTGAAGGGATGTTTAAAACTGGATCAGACAATAACAAGAGCACCGAGTTCCCACCAGTCCTTGCCTTCTGAGGTTTCTTCTTGATTATTCATAAATGTGGGCTCTCACATCTACTCCATGGCCTCAGAGGGGCTAGACATGGCCCCCGGGAATCTCTCAGGTTTTTGGTCAACCACCGCTGACATAAATGCATTGGATGTATTTTCTGCTTGTGGGAGACTACTTCTCTGTCCCCAGCATTGCAGAAGGGTGCAAGGGATTTTGGGAAGCACAGAGTTACCTGATTTCCTTCAGTACTTCCAACTACTCACTGCTGTAGCACCCAAGTTATTTGGCAAATGAGGCAACTCCCGTAGCTTGACGTGGCACAGTGAGAGGTGACTGCTTGCCGATAGGCACCACAGTAACTCAAGCAACTCTTGGGAAGGAGATGGAAAAGGCACAGGTGATTACAGTGCAAAACACTGAACTGTTTTTGACCTTACCTCCAAAAAGAAAGTCCAGTTCCTCTACTCAGCTTTTATTTCACCTCTTATTTTATTACCCTTCAAACATCCTTGGAGATATATGAACTTATAGGATCATAGAATCATTTAGGTTGGAGAAGACCTTTAAGTCCATCAAGTCCAACCATTAAGCTAGCACTGCCAAGTCCACCACTAAACCACGTCCCTAAGTACCACATCTACATGTCTTTTAAATACCTCCAGGGATGGTGACTCCACCACTTCTCTGGGCAGCCTATTCCAATGCTTGACAACCCTCTCCGTGAACAAATTTTTCCTAATATGCAATCTAAACATCCCCTGGCACAACTTGAAGCTGCTCCCTCTTGTCCTATGGCTTGTTACTTGCGAGAAGAGATGAACACCAGCCTCACTACCACCTCCTTTCAGGGAGTTGTACAGAGCAGTAAGGTCTCCCCTGAACTTCCTTTTCCCTTCTTTGGACACACTCCAGCACCTCAGTGTCTTTCTTGTACTGAGGGGTCCAAAACCGAACACAGTATTCAAGGTACAGCCTCACCAGTGCCGAGTACAGGGGTCTATCACTTCCCTACTCCTGCTGGCCACACTATTTCTGATACAAGCCAAGTTGCTCTTGTCCACCTTGGCCACCCGGGCATACTCCCGACTCATATTCAGCTGGCTGTGAACCAACACCCTCCAGGTGCTTTCCACCATCTGCAGACTTACTGAGGGTACACTCCATCACCTCATCCAGATCATTGATAAAGATATTAAACAGAACTGGCCCCAGTACTGAGCCCTGCGGAACACCACTTGTGACTGTCCACCAACAGGATTTAACTCCATTCACCACAACACTTTGGGCCTGGCCTTCCAGCCAGTTTTTTACCCAGTGAAGAATACACCCGTCTAAGCAGTAAGCAGCCAGTTTCTCCAGGAGAATGCTGTGGGAAATGGTGTCAAAGGCTTTACTAAAGTCCAGGTAGACAATGCCCACAGCCTCCTCCTCATTCACTAAGCAGGTCAACTTGTCACAGAAAGAGATCAGGTTAGTCAAGCAGGACCTGTCTCTCATAAACCCATGCTGACTGGGCCTGATTGCCCGGTTGTCCTGTACGTGACATGTGATGGTGCTCAAGATGACCTGCTCCATAACCTTCCCCAGCACTGAGGTCAGACTGACAGGCCTGTAGTTCCCGAGATCCTCTTTCTGGCCCTTCTTGTAGATGGGCATCACATTTGCTAACCTCCAGTCAACTGGGATTTCCCCAGTTGGCCAGGACTGCTGATAAATGATGGAAAGTGGCTTGATGAGCACTCCTGCCAGCTCCCTCGGTACCCTTGGGTGGACCCCATCCAGCCCCATACATTTCTGTGTGTCGAAGAGGTGTAGCAGTTTGCTAATCATTTCCCCTTGGAATATGGGGGCTTCATTCTGCTCCCTATCCTGGTCTTCCAGCTCAGGGAGCTGGGTACCCAGAGAAGCACCGGCCTTACTATTAAAGACTAAGGCAAAGAAGGCACTAAGTATCTCAGCCTTTTCCTCACACTTTGTCACTATGTTTTGCCCCGCATCCAGTAAAGGACGGAGATTCTCCTTAGCTCTCCTTTTGTAGCTAATGTATCCATACAAACATTTTTATATTGGCTTTTACCACAGTAGCCAGACTAAGTTCTAGTTGGGCTTTGGCCCTTCTAATTTTCTCCCTGCATAACCTCATGACATCTTGAGTTGCCTACCTCTTCTTCCAAAGGTCATAAACTCTCCTTTTTTTCCTGAGATCCAGCCAAAGCTCTCTCTTTAGCCAGGCCCTTCTTCTTCCCTGCCAGTTCGTCTTTCAGCACATGGGGACCGCCTGCTCCTGTGCCTTTAAGATTTCCTTCTTGAAGAATGTCCAGCCTTCCTGGACTCCTTTGCCCTTCAGGACTGCCTCCCAAGGGACTCTGTCAACCAGTCTCCTAAACAGGCCAAAGTCCAAGTCTGGAAGTCCAAGGTGGCAGTTCTGCTGAGCCCCCCTCCTTAGTTCTTCACGAATCAAAAACTGTCATTTGTAGTTGCTGTGCCCAAGACAGCCTCCAATCACCACATCACCCTCTGTTGTGTCATCATCACAGTCCTCCTCTGTTCACAACCGACATGTCCAGTGGGGCGCCTTCTCTAGTTGGCTCACTCACCAGCTGTGTCAGGAAGTTATCTTCCATACACTCCAGGAACCTCCTAGACTGTTACAAGCATCCTAGAACCAGTGATCCAATCCAGTATGACAGGTCCTACATACTTCTCAGTGGTCTCTGACAGTGACCATGGGGATGAGAAAGAAACATTTATGCCACTTTGACTTAAAAGGCAATTTTGAGGTTTTCTAGGGGTTTCTGTTTAACTCTTTTCTTACAGAGACTGAACTCAGATACCTGGACATCTGCTTTTCCACAACCGTCTGTTTACAATACATTGGTTGCTAGTATAGTGAAGGTAGTGGAGAATTCAAAAAAGCCTTTTTTTTTTTGCTTTAGAAGAGTGGGGAGCTCTGAGGCTTTCATTAATTGATTCTTTTTAAAAAAAAAAAAAAAACAAGGAAACCCCCCATACTCAGCAGGGGAAAGTTCCCCTTTATTTCCGTAGTGCAAACAAACCACAGCTCAGCTAACATTTGGATACTTAAATAAGCAAACTTGCCAACACCTCAAAACAGCTCAAAAAATCCCCCTTCCTGAGTGCTGAAAGAGCTCGTACACCATACAGTGGCAATACACATGTGGGAAGAAAATTTTAAAGACATTATTTAAAAAGAGACAAAACTTACGCTAGCTCTTAGCATCTTAGGCCACCTTTATTTAATTAGGCTACTTGAGCTTACTCTAATTTAGTTCTCAGTGAATATAAATTCTCTACTCACAACTTCTTATTGCCAAACCTGAGGAAAGTACAAAAGGCAAAAGGAGCCAACAAACTCAAGTGTCAAGTTATCTACATACCTTCTTGATAGTTTCTCCAGAAAATGTTATCAGTGGTGTCACACATTATATCAAGTATCCCAAGAAATTATATTAACTCAATTGGAAATTTTAGTAAACTGAAAACTTTTTCATTTTGCACGTGAAGATGTGACTTCACGAAAATTTTCTTAACAGCAAAGGTTTGTTACATATCAGAAAAGAAGATCAGAAGATCTATTATAAGTCACATAGTGGTGATTCTAAAAACCCTACAAATTAAATAAAAAAATCACTATTTATGTATGACTGACGTGTAATGCAGCTGTGGATTTGGACCATGGTGGCCTCCAAATAGTATATAATCTCTGTGCTGTAATAATGAAATGTACACTTAAAGTACAGACAATATATGACAAACTTCTTTAGCCACATGTCATCCTCGAGAATTGCAGTGCCCTCCCTCAATTTGACAAAGTTGTACCTTTGTAGGCTGGTTTGGATATAAAAAAAGTTACGAAGTCCATTAACAAAAGTAAATGAGATCTCTAGAGTTTTAAAAATACAGATGTTTTATAAATCACAACAGAGCCACTGCAGAAGTCGTCATTACTGTTCAAACAATTAATGAGCCCATGCTTCCAAAATAAGAAATGCCATGGCTTCAGTTTCTGAGTTACTGTATGGAACTGCTGCACAAAGAAAACAAAATACAGAAGTTAAGTGACCCAAGGCTTGGGAGGACTTTTTTTTTAAATAAAAGAATATAATCAAATTATTATGGGTTGAGGGGGGACACTTATGAAAGATTTAAATTAGAAAAGTAAAAATCTTTGCTGAACCTAAAAATCATTGCTCAGAAAAAAAGTTTGTTGTGTGTAGGCAGCTATCAACAGTTTAGCATATCCAGACAATCTTGTACTTCTCACAACATGTACCCATTGATCAGTGAAGAGCAATTATTTATAAACTAGGAAAAGGTGCAGTTAGCATATTTTTAGGACCTGGTGCCTTTCCTAAAGCAGCAGTAAAGCCGCTAGGGCCGAGCAGGAGGCTGCCAAGCATTCCCAAGCAGACAAGGAGCTGCATTCAAGCCCAGAGCTTGTGTTTTGATGCAACCCACTTCACCACTGAAAGCACCATTACATCACCTCTCCCCTTCCAGCCGCTACCTGAGAGGAATTAAGCAATGCATTTCTAAAAGAGTGGCTGCGAGCTGCCTTTAGTTGCGTACCTGTTTCATCAGGTGAGCTTGGCGAGGCGCTGTCCTGGGACAGCGTAGTCCAGCTGGAGTCCTCATCGCTTGGGGCCAGGTTTTGAATCCTATGGAGGGCACAATCTGTTTTAGCCCCAGTTTTCGGGTGGTCTTTCTTAGTCTCAGGGCTTGACGATACTGTTGCAACTTGGCCATCCTCTGGGCTTGACAGCTTGTTTTGTTTCCGGGGCAGGACTTCCCCATTGACAATAATTGTAGAAGCCTGGCTGTTGCTTTGTGCAGATTTATCTTCCATTGCAACAAAACTCTGCTCTAGCTCTCTAGCAGATGTCTCTAGATCTGCATAGTAATTTAGGAAGCTCTTGGTCCTCCTTGGCTGCGAGGGTAGTATTTCACAGCCAGAGGAATCCTGCGGGATTGGCTCTTTGCCTTCAAACTTCTCAGAAGTTACGTTTATGCCCGCAGTGGTACTGAGGTTTTTGTTGGGATCCTGCTGTCCCTGCTCAGCAGCTTTCCGGAGCTGGTTTTCTCCATTCTTCACCAGCTTTATATTGGCAGAGTTGTTCCCCAGAAGGGGCTGTGCTGCCGGATCGGAAAGACCCATGGCTGTCTGAATGTTAGTCAGTGCATATTTCTTCCTGCATTTTGGAGGAGTGCTGTTCTTTGTCTCCGTGTGCCTAATTTCTGCATTCAGAAGTTCGTTATGAGAGGAGCGCAGGTTAAGGGTGTTCGGCGGGGTGGCAGGGCTGTTGCGGTTCACAACGTCCGTCGTGCTGCCGCTTGCCATAAACACTGCCAACGCGTCCACACCAGAATCGACTAGAAAAGCAAAAGAAAGAGTCATGAAACACATTCATTATATACACTATTTCGCTAGGCCTTCTGGTAAAAGGATGCTGCACTTTACATAATTGTTTTACAGTAGGACAATTACCACAACCTAAGTGAGTAAGAGAATAAACAAAAGCTTTGCTTATTTAATAAGGAAAAACAGAGGCTAAAAAAACAGAGATCGTCAGGACCATGAAGCTGAGAAAAAGCAGAAAGCTTGACGTTATGCAAGGCAGTTTTAAGGCATTTTTTTCATGTCTGATTCTGTAGCAGGCAGGCTTGGGGACAGGAGAGGTGCCCTTTGCAAATGCCTGGGAGTCCAGAAATCATCCTCACCATCACTTCATTTTAGTATTTCACCTCTACCTCCAGCAAGGAGGAGAGGAAGAACTCCTTGAGCGCTCATCACTAAGGAGCAGATAATTTGAGAAATTTCTAAGCAGACCATAGGCAGATGCTGCTCCCTTTTATCTAGGGTAGGACTCAAAATACTGTTAATTTTAAGCTTGACTGGCCAGTCAGTTGTTGCCTCTTAATACCTGCATTTCCTCTGTTCTTTGTCTGTCTCTTCCCTCTCACCCCAATTTTCTTTTTTTTTTTTTTTTTTTTTTTTTTTTTTTTTTTTTTTTTTTTTTTTTTTGGGGGGGTGGCAGCGGTCGGGAGGTAGAGGGTCAGAATGTAGGGAATACAAGTAGATTATTTCACAATACTGTATTTGATTTCTGTGGGGGAAACAAGAAAAAAATCCCTTGATAAAAAATCCTGCTCTAATTCAACAAACTTTTAAAAACAGGCTGCTCCAGAGATGAAAGAGGCTCACAAAGTTCAAACTTAAGGATAAAACATAATGTCCTAGGGCAGAGTACACATATTCCACAGTTAAATAAAACTGTTCTTTTGTCTACTTGTAGTGAAGTTTCTGATTTTTATTAGCCAGGGGCATAGCCCACATTTTGAAAAAATATTAAGTTTGTTGAGGGAACAGATTTTTAGGCTATGAAACAATGATCAAAAAATGTACTTTTAAAAACATTATAATTTGTTCCTGTACTGCCTATTTATGGCTCTCACTAATCTGCACAAATACTCCATGAATACCTCAATTTACACACAATAGTCGTCACTGTTGTTTGACACCTGGCAAACAAATTAAAGGCCAATTAGCAAATCATTCCCATCTGCCACAGTATGAAACACCCTTTCTGTTGTTCCTAATTCTCAGATATCACTGACTGCTTACATTGAACATAAAAAACATGTCTGAGGCTTATCCAGGAATGAAAAAGATGTAATTTGAACTAGCCGATGACAGATCATTCCAGATGAGTTGTGTTGCATCCTTGTATATTTGGTACATGACAGAACTGACTGCTGTACAGATTTACAAGAGATTAAATATATGGGTTTTAAAAGAACATAAACAAACACAGAGTGAAAAGGAACACTTCACAACATTACCTGAATGCAGGCACAGTTGCTAGAGTTCCCTTCTTTGATGTTCTGTCAAAGCTACACACTTCCAACCATCACTATGGTTCATTTAAAATCAAGCAGACAAAGTATACTCTCTGCTTCCTGAATCACCCACATAGAACAACTTCTAAGACTTGTTTGAAACAGAATTTAAACTAAATTTTACAAATTTTCCTGTCTGCCATTTCGTCAAGCCCCAGTCAGTCAGTCTAGACCAACTGCAAATTCTTCAGAAGACAGGTCACCCCACGCCCACTGTGCAAAAGCCATCAGCTCAGCTAACAGTTAACATTAACATCCTATACACAATTTCAGCCTTAGCCACAAAAGACTTCTAAAACACAACCGTCACATAACTTAAAGGCACTTTGTAAATGTACTTCTCAAATACATCAATAAATGTTGCTTTCTGCATCTTGCCTAAAAACAACCAAGCGTAACACAAGCAAGGTCACATCTGATCCAACATAATGCTACCAAAGCATGTTCTAATCTAAAAACACAAAATGGCTTGTGTTTATAGACTGGCTGCTTAATATTTTCTCTGAACCAGTTAAAAGTCTGACAAACTGGAAGTCACTTGAGAAATAAATTTATATGGCAGGATAATTTTGACCCACTGTCTGACCTTTAGAACTGCCGGAATTACACAGTATCTACAGATTTCAATAGATTATATTTTACTTTATGCTTCAGCAAATTAAAACAAGCATTTATTTTTTTCATCAGTACAACTGCCACAATCTGGAACAAGACTGAAATTTATTTTTGTCCTTTGTTACAAGTGAGCTGCTTCATGCAATGAAGCACTGAACAGATTTCTTAAGAAATAATCTTCCTAGACAAAGCTTAGTATCTGCCTGTTAGATTACCTTTAGCCAGCCTCCTGCCATTAGCATTTCACTTATCAAAAAATATTGTAAGAGTAAGCACATAGAAACATTGAAACAAAATGTATTATGTTTTACTAATCTGCTTGATAAAGCTCCCCCATGGATTTATGATGAACATTGGCACATGGATGAATGACTGAGCCAAAGCCCCCAGAAGCCTTTGCAACCTAAGCAGTGTTTGCAAGTTGGGTTCTAAGTTGGGTGGGTTGGTTGATGATAAGCAGAAAAATGTCAAAATGTACCTTTCACTACACACTACCTCCACTCCTGACCCCGTTTCAAAAGATCTGTTGATCAAATCATCATGATCAAATGATCAATGAACATGCAAACAGTACCACAAGGTAAGTACAGAGAGGAGCAGGCTGTCCTCGCAAGGGACAGGTGCCTACTTGGTGGCCACCACCGTGCACTCCCAGGCAGGCTCCAGGATACATGCAGCTGGCTTCCCTCCTCTCTTGGCAAGAGATACAAAGGTGGGAAAAAGGAAATCAACAAAAGAGGCAAAAAAAGAGTACAAGAAATACAGATGGGAAAGGGCAGGTCTTGCATCTTGGGGGCAGAAGTTGCTACCAGACCAGAACTAAAGCGCTGGAAAAATGTTTGAATGCAAAGAAATGCTTAAATGCACTGAAGAAAACTTAAGATTGTGTAGTAGAATGGCAAAAGGAAGCAGAGGGATAGCCTGTCCCTCCTCCTTTATACAGGACATAGTGATACTCAAAACTCGTCACGTCTCCCAGAGGAAGTACATCCCAACTTTCTAATTAAAACATCAAGGAAACGCAACTTCTTCCTGTGCCTGTAATTTCAAGACCAAAATTCCAATCGCCGACTTCCCGTATCTTTTACTTTATCTCTCCCACCAAGTCTTGCCTCCCTCACCCCAGTGGTACATAAAGCAGGCTGGTGCTGTGCCCCCCACCAGCTAACCAACACCCCATGCCAGGGGTCCCACACCCAGGCACCACGCTGCAGGCAGACCCCATCCCCCTGCTCGGGCAGCTCCTCACACTGCCTGGCCAGAAGCAAGGATGACACCACTGGCAGAGGGTATCCTTTTTTCAACTCCTTTGCCTTCTGCTGAAAAGCAAACACAAATGGACAAGCAGACCAAGAGTCACTGAGTTGATACATATCTCAGCTAAAGCAGTTGAACAGTGGCAAGTTATAAGTGAGTAAAAACAAAAAATATTGGACTCTGGTGAAAAACTAGGAATAATTAGTATGTTATCATTACTGGGAATAATTAGGATATTATTAAAATGTTGGCACTTAAGTAGGTAGACAGCCTGTCATAGCAATTCATCAATGATTTCAGCGTGCTTACTTTTTAAAAAAATCACAGTTTCAACTGCATAATTCTAATGTTTAGAAACATACCCACAGCTACAGATTAACACACTTGCATCATTATAATGTGTTTAACACAAAGTAGTCTCAATTTTCTAAGCATGATAATAATACAAATAACGCTACTACTTGAACGGCTTTTATTGATATTTTTCAACCTTGTCATAAGCCATAGAGCTGGAAGGAGAGAAAAAATACCATTGCAAACAGAAAACAGTGCATGACTGGTTTGCCTTTACCTCTAATGAGACTTTTTTGCATTGTGTTGTCTATAGGAATAGTTTTTAAAAAGCTGCATAGAGAGTTTATTCAAAAAGGCACCGTTAAACAGAAACGCAAGTGCTTCCTCTTTTTCATGTATAAGTGCAAAATTAAAGTGAAATATGGGCCTGGGAGGAAATAGAAGAAAAAGAAGAGGAAAGTTTCACATATTTGCATAGCAGAATCTTTTAAAGGGCATCTGACCTGGAAGTACTTCTGACATGGCTCACGGGGCGTCAGCAATGCATCAGGAAATAGATTATAATTTGAAATCTGAAAAGAGGGATCATTTAAGAATTAAAACCAAAGGAAAACACAAAATAAAAATACCACATTTCAGAACCTCCTGAGAGACATTAAGCATTCTAAACAAATCCCAGAACATAACAGTGAGGATCTTCTGAGCTTTCAATGACATTTGACAGTCATTAAAGTATGGGAGGGGCCAGTCTACAGCAATGAGAACAAGTAATTAAAAATAACTATGACATTTTTCTTAATGTATGCTTTACTATGAGCACAAGTTCAACAATATTCTCCAGTTTTAATCAACACACTGTAGCAAGAACTTCATGACATTAGAAAATCCGGGGGTTTCCCCAATTACCCAACTACAGCTTACGCAGGAAACTACACCAACATCGGTAAAAATAAACGTAGCAGTAAGGCATGTTCACACAAGAATCTGCAGAATGAGATCCAGCATATGAAACTAAGAAGCACAGGCTGCAGGGCTGATCCCACAGGAAGGAATCATAAAAAGCAAGCTAGGCAGCAAGCACCTGTATGGGACCCTTTCCTGGCCATCTTCTCATAAGTAAACCATTTTGCCTTAAAGTGTCTGGTTTGGATGCGAATGACACATACACTGGGAGCACTTGTGACTATTTCTAGACACTACTGTGTCTAGGAAACATAGGAAAGAAATAATACAAACCTTTTCATAAAGCAGATTTCCTTTCCGCAAGAATATCTGTTGGGTACAAAGCATTTAATGACAAACTCATGCCGTGAGGCTACAGCCTCAGGTCCTGTACGCTCAGCTCTAATTAAAGCCTAAGCAGCTGAAGAGAATGCTTCCATTACACAATGGCTGCAACTCAACGCTAGCCAACTCTCTCTGCTTCAAAGGGTGAATTCCAATGTTAAAACATTAATTCTTAATTAAGTATCCTAACACACTGTCCTCTCACATCTGCCTTCACTCTTCAACTAGGGCCAACTAAATGGTAATACTTAAACAGATGTTGGCCGAAAGCATCCTAAATAAAGGCTAGGTTTACATTAGCGTAGCTGAAATCAGAATCAAGAGTAGAAGCTTTCGTAATGTTACTGTGCTCCTCCTTGCCTATGTATCTACACAAATTCCAGGGGACTTAACACTTTGAGAAGAGAAAAGGAAGGAAAACACTTGAATGAAATGCTGTAGTAGATCAGAGCAACTGATGATATTCCTACAGCCAGTGGTTTTCTTGCTGCTCCCTCCAGCAATGACATCTCTGCTGGACTGAGCTTGGAAGCTGGAGAGAGAAAGCTCAACAAAGCCAGGAAAGCAAATGCAGAGAGTGGGCAGAGCAGTTTTGGGAACACAAGAGCCAGGAAAGGAGCAGGGCTGCAAGGAGCTTGCACGTGTGCTCTCAAACCCATCTGCAGACTCCTCAACACAAACCTTAGGGTATCTGAGGATGGGAAGGACCTCTTGAAATAGTCTAGCCCACCCCCCTGCCCAAGCAGGGAATCACCACTGCCCTCTCCACTCCACCCTGGCTCTGTCCTCACCTCAGAACAAAATCACCACTTCAACCTGCTTGCTAAATGCAGCTTCCCCCCATTTCTAGCTATTTCTGCTTCAACTAGTCCTACTGAAATCACCATCCGGTAACCAGCTTTCTGTCCTGGCTCGTCCTTCCTGAGAGGCACCCTGCCAGCCCCTGCTGCCACAGTAATTACATTTTTCTTTTTAGAGCTAATCATACTGCCAACTGACTGCAACAGCCTAGCAGCAGTGCTGTCTCTGTTCTAGTGGTGCTCTTATTAATGGAAATCCATAATGCTGATCTGTCTTTAAATAAAGTTATTACGGAAGAAACAACTCCAGATTCTGCAATGAGTGCTGGCACTCAAATGGAGTATGCCTTCCCATTTGCCATTTTTTCCCTCCCCGTTCCTACACAGCCAGTCAAGTTCCTCATCCAGCAAAAACCAAGAGACAAGATGCTTCTCAGAATCAGATTCTAACACCTACAAAGGACAGTGAAAAACAATAAAAATAATAATAAAAAAAGAAACAGGCTAAATCAATTGCTCCTTTATTTATAATTTTATTAAGATAGATACAGCTAAATAATCAGTGTATATTTGTCTATCTGATTGAAACTCTATGTTGCAGATGACCTGGGTCATCTTATGCTACTAGAATATTCTTAAATCAAGTGATCACTTGGAGAAATAAAGAGCAATTCTTTCATTTACATAAGGCATAACCATGACATACAACACCTAATCTTACATTTAGTAAGGGAAAAAGCAAGATAGCATACTTTTCCAGATTCAATTTTCTCCCCTTAATTAGATTTCCCCCTGTGCGGAATGGAACAGTCTGGCAGGCAAAAAACAGTGCTGTCACGGCAAGAAGATGGAGTGCGTTTTATCTATCAGCTACTTGCAAACACAGATAATAAGACCTTCTGTCATCGGATCTATACATTCACAGCTAAATAAACCTCAGTCGTTTTTTCTAATCCTGTTGTGTAAATTAAACTCCTGAGCCTTACCGTACTTTTTTTTATAATCTATGTATAAATTATTCAATCTCTACAATAAATATCACACCTCAGACTCATTTGTTCATTACAGACAACTCTACTTCAAAGGCACATGCTCATATAGGGCACAAGCACAAACTTCATCCTCTGTTCAACAGACACACACACTCAGAAATGGTAATTTAAATTTCTGCAACTGAGATGATCAATAAAGCAAGAAGGACTTGGTCTTCCACATCCTGCAACTTTGATCTCAATTGTTATCCAAAAATAACTCTTACCAAGTCTGAAGGTAAACAATGTGTAATCAAATCTGATCAGAATTACCAAAACCAAAGCATGATGCCATATGAAAAAGAAAGCTAGGATAAGCTGTCTCAGAGAAAAAAGGCAACCAAAATGCTTTGTAGAACAGGCACCCTACCTATATGCTTAATGGAGTAATAGAAAAGAATCAATGGCCACGAATTTGGCACATAAAATGATTTAGACTGATTCAGACTTAGTTCAGACCAGGGATTTTTCAGCCCCACATAAAATGAACTTAGATCATTCAATAGGTCCTAAGTCAGGAAGCAGAACCATTCAGAAGATGACTGATTCCTGAACAGGGTTAAAGAAACCTGCAACGTCCAGCACCAGCTTTCCAGATGTTTGTAATGGCACTGGTCCAATACCAAGCTCTTTGATCAGGAGACACAGGCAGCAAAAGCAGGAAAGAGATTAAGCATAGGTCACAGCATTATTAACAGAATGAGCAAAAATGTTAACTGAGCCCCTGTCAGATGCAATGGATGAGTTAAATTCCAGCACAGCATATGTGCTGGACAAAAAAAAAAATTAAATAGCTGATTATCATTAACCACCTCCCACACAACCTGTCTGCAGCCCTGCTATTTGCGCCTGCAAAGCCTAGAAACAACACTGCATACTCCTGAGCATAATCTGCTTCTTCAGTAACAACTGCATGCACACAAACACAGACATTTCAGCTTCTCTTTTTAAACTAGTGTATTTTAACAATTAAACTTCTAATGGCCTGGCATCATGATTTCACCTGCCACAACTTCATCTGCCCTTTGAACTATGTACAAGAAATTTATGACTAGTTACACATTAAGCTCTTCTCAAGGTTATGCAGAAATGTTTTTATCCTCAAATTACCCAGATTGGTAGCAATAGTTTTGAGCCTCCTATTATCACTGCTTCATAGCTGAGATCTTAAAACGCATTTGAAAGAGCATGGTACACCAAAATTGTTATCTTGTTATTATAAGGTTGTACTTAGTGTTAAATTGGGCTCTAGAGATGAAAATCTGAAAATTAAATAAATGGTGAATAACCTTTTAGTAGACTCTCTACAACTCTATATGAAAAGAAATAAAGAACAAAAATACCTGTATATCAAAAGTCTCAATTAATGAATGAAAACCTCTAATTTTATCAATTCCAAAGTGTGTGCAAATAATTTCAAATGGCTAACAGAAATTTGAGACCTGTGAGCAAAAATAAAAACATCAAAGTGTCAGTCACAGAACAGAGCATTAGATTACTTGCCAGGTTTCGCAAAATGAGACTATTAGGGCTCTCAAAGAGAGGAAATTAAGATTTTGCACACTGACAAGATTGCTTCTGTTCCACGTACATTAAAAACATTCTGTGTCTCACCTAGGTAGGGCTATTATATGTGCACTTTTAACTACATCTGTTAAAACTGCCTTAAATTTGGACTCATGTGTCCTACCCACATATCCCCTGCTCCCAGTAATGGAACAGGATATATTTCAGAGCACAGGATGCATCAAACTAGAAAAGGTCTTCACATTTCTAGTTTGTTTTTCTATTAAAAGCTAAACTAAAATAAGGCTCATTACACAGAGCTACATCTCAGCAAGGCTGAAAGTTGCCAGCAAAGCTACATATTGTCTTCAAACAAACTTTAATGGAGACCAATCAGAAATACTTCAAAATATACGAACGGTTCATAAACAAATCATTGCAGTACTGCTTAAGCTGACAGAATGCTGAGAGATGACTAAAATGGCCATACCCTACAGCAACACTCCCAGTGTAATTATGGTACCAGAATATAGGAATAACTTTTAATCTTGGCCTGCTGTAGCAACTCCTTGAGAATGCAGCTGTTCTACACTGAGTAACTTCCACGCATAGTGCTCATACACAAAACAAAACCACATGCTCATAAAATCAAAGTATCATATTTGCTTTATGGTCCCCATAAACTAAACAGATCAATCCATAATAAAGTGGAAGGAGAACATAACAGAAAAGCAACTGCACTTACTGGCATTTATATTACACTGAAGTGTGGCTAAAAGTGAGCTCAGTTTCAACAAGCAGCAAACTTGGCTGTAGAAGACACTGAACAAGTGGAAAAGAACAAGGTAGTAGTATTACTGGCCTGAATTTCGACAAGGATTCTTGAGTTCTTGATGTGCTAGCCAAAATCCTCTACTGTTTTTTCTTATCTACAAACTCACAGATCTTCACAAAGCACTTTAAACACCAAAGGAACGGGGGTTCCTGTGAAAAGGGACAAACATGTAATGCAAGTCTGGTACCATGGTGGTTCTCCATGAACACACACAACCAGAAGCTGAGTGACCAGGAACCTTCAGCTTCAGAGCACTCTACCTCTGGTTTCACCATGAAGAAGAAACAGACCTCTCAGGGTCTTGGGATGGGGGTACTATTTAACTATGCTAAGAGATAAACCCAGAAGTGACAATTATGCATTCAGAATAACACACAGTTCTTAAAGAAAGCCTTTTATCTGCAGACTCCAAGTCAGCTCCTATCTGTGGAAACTGGCACATGTTTTGGGGCTTCACTAAGATCACCCAGGAGACCTCAATGAAGTTGTGCAAGTCTCCACATAGCTTCCTAGGAAAGCTAGAAACCTAAACAAGAGAGCCTTTAATGGGGAGAGCAACGTATGTGTCATGGGGTGCTTTTGTAATTTTCATTCCATGAATCATCTGTATTCCTGCATTTTCCTCAGCTAAGCAACGAATACATGGAGCTTTTCAGCACCTTTACAGAAAACTGTCCCCCCTGAGCACGACGTAAGCAGTGTTAAAGCTTGAGTCTCATTTATACCAAGGTATCTTTCTTTGGAAAGAAAAGGTCAGGAGATAGAGGGCAGGATTTTGCAGAGGTAGAATTTTACTGGGATGGGAAGAACCAAGAGTTGCATGGTGGATACGCTCCTCCTCAGGGTCAGCATACCTCTTTGGATGAGTTTTCTGTTACTCTGGAAGCAGTTCCAGGCCAAGCTTGCAGAGCCAGTCCATGGTACATTTCCACACCAACTCACTGCGGGCTAACAATAGCAATGCAATTACTGGCACTGGCTGCAAGACTGGAAGTTTGGTGGTTTTTTTTTCAGGGGTTTACTGTTATTTATAATGTCACTGTTCTGACACTTGTTTCCTTATTTCACTGTAATGAACCCAAGACTTTCCAGCAGTTTCACTAAGCAAGACCAGCAGTGGGGGATTGCCCCAGTGCAAAGAAGGTCACCGCTGGGCACTTGGGAAGCAGAAGAGACACTAGCAGAGCAGGAATTGCAGTGTTCCTAGAGGGAAATCAAACCCCAAGTTTATAAAATTAACCCTGCTCTCTCTGCCCTCAAGTATATTGAGTTACTTATAAGAGCAGCTCTAGCATGGGACATAATCAGGAAGAACAAAGACTAAAACATCTTCCCTCCGCAGTCCAGGGGAGTGCTTTCCCGTGAGGGATATTTCCTTTCATCCTTATCCTTGATTTATCAACATTTCATCAAAATGTTATTTCCTCGAAAAGGTTTGCTTAGGAAAAAAAAATAAATATCACATCCTCCATCTCCACAGCCTCCTCCTGAAATAAAACTCCAGTCAGCGCTAATAATTATACTGGCAGAATTCTACCAATAAATCATTCCATATGGGCCCTAGTACGAGTAATTTTTAAATAAGAGATGCCTAACAGTTCAAAAAGAAACAGTAGTCCACCTCTGCCTGGCACAAATCAAGAAGATGACTTAAGGATGGGAGATGTGGTGCCGTCTTCTCTGGGCAGCGAGGGATGGTCGCAGAGCTCCAAGCACAAGCAGGTCCCTTCCTCCCGGTGAATGCTGACATGCCACCACAGGGCTGCACCTCTGCCCTGGCACACTCCAAAGGTTAACAAGTGCCAAAAACTACCACCCACAAATTCCTGCATTTCCTCACTTCCAATGTCTTCTGAAAGAGAGGGCTTTTTCAGAATTAGGAAGACCTAATTCTTCCCTTCACAGACTTTATTTAGGTAGGTATGTATGTACAGACAGAAGATAAAAGTCAGAGATTAAGGCTTAAGGCTGCACCAGTCCTTAATGGTACAACATTAAGATTGCAACAACTGTGAATGTGAAATACAATAGCTGAGATGGTGCAATTACTCATTATTTATGCAAAGAAAATAAAAACAAAACACTGTATTTTACCAGCACTTTCACTGAGACCTAATCTTGCTACCATAAATTTCATTATGATCCGTACCAGCCAAGGACTGGGCAATTTCAATGCCATTATTGTTGGATACTGAAAGCACTTATTATGTTAGGCACCGGGAAGTTGCACAAATCATACAGTAACAAAACCAAAAAATAAAGCAAGTTTCCTGGCTTAGAAACCCTGACAGGTTAAGGAAAGGGAAAACTTGGCTTAACAAAAGCATAACGCAATCATGAAGTAGATATTTTGATGTCTCTGTCCCCAAGGAGAGGGAGGTCTGGTGCCAACTGATTCTGATGCAAGTTTCGGAACCCCAACACTTCCTCAAGCAAACAATTCCACTTCTTCACTGCAACTGCTCAACTAGACAACAGGAAAAACATCCTAGGCTCTTCTGGTAAGAATTTAATGCCCATTACTTGTTCTAAGTAGGAATGGGAAAGACTTGCTTACCTACCCCTACACTAGATCATTTTAAAGCTCTGAGCTTCAAGCCTAGGCATGAGACGTCCATATCATGTCCTACAGTACACCGAGAGGACACGTTTGAAAGCTAGTGTCTAGATTTATTGTCAGGTGATTCAAATAGATCAGTCCACATCTGTACTCCTCTGTACTCCAGCACTTGACCACCAGAGACCTGTCAAAACTGTAACAACCATTTACCTCCTCCATTCTAGGATAGACAATATCCCAACATTAATACCCAAAACAAATTCTTTGGAAAAGTAGTATCTAACTTGGCTCTAATGCTCCTTTTTGAGACACATCTTTATGACATCTATGACTAGCCTGCAGCAGACAGTAAATATGCTTTACTACTTCCTAAGATTTAGCCTTACAATTAGGAAAAAAATCACATAAAGTCAAGTTCTGAATACAGGACCTCACCATGCAGCTCCTCACAGCCTCATGGCAATGCCACCATAGGAAGTCTCTGTCCTGCCACAGCTGTAAGCTCTCACTGCAGCTGGCTTACATCAGCCAACACAAATATGTGTTTAGCTGGATGCCTGAAGCGATTGAGGCTTTTAAAGAAACCTTTAAAGAAACAGAAAGAATGGTACAAAAGTGAGAGCTTCTTAAGCTGGCTTTTATGCCAAGAAAAGGCACATGGGATCATCTTCTGCTACAGCAGTAAGAAGACTGAATACAAAAGTTAACCCACCACAGCTTCACCTCAGCAGCCTGAGGGATCAACAGAAAGCTCACGAGGACTGGCAGCAGCCTTCTAGAGTCAGAGCGCTACCCCACACAGCTCTCCAGGGAAGGTCACGTCAGCTCACTTCATATAGCCTGCACTGGGGAACCACTGCAGTGTGGTACCTGCCATCTGCACTAGCATGAGACATGTTTGCTTACTCAATGGAAGGTGCAGGTGATAAATTTTAAGACTTGCCTTTGCACTTTAACAGAAAACAACAGATAATGTAATATAATCCAGTAGGATACAATTCAGAAGAAAAAACAACGTGAATAATATTGAACTCAAGCATATAAATAAACTGAACTGGAAACATTAGTTGCAGTTGTAAGCAATTACAGCTATAGTGCACAGCAACATTTTAGGATAAGCTCAAGTAGTTTGTTAATTTGGTATTAAAAACTTGGGATGGGAGTGAAGAGGAATAGCAGCTAAATTTTTGAACCCTATAATAAATGAAGTCAGAGACCCTGAACACAAAACACAGCACACTACAGTAGACTTGGTCAAGTCACACCACTAGCTGCTTTTTAAAGTTTTAGAAAACACCTTACCAGTTTAAACATTAATCAATGTACTTACCATTTGGGTACACACACAGGAGAGCTGACATCGATTAGAATATGTCAGCAGCCTTTATAAACACAATTTCAAAATTTATAAACTTAGCAGCCTTCAAAAGCAATAAAGCAACAAATAAATTAGACCAATTGCATACATACATGAGCTGCTTGGCCGATAGTGAGCCCCCGGGTACCGCCTGCCCATAGTGCCAGTCAGCACATTACCACACACTGTCAGCTGCTTCCGAAGTATAGATCGAAACGCTTAACTGAGGGAGAAGAAAAAAAAAGTGAAGATTTAGTACAACAGCTGTATCTTTTTTCATTAAAATGCTAATGACCCCTACAAATTTCAGGATAACTACAGCTATAAATTATTCATAGTCATGTTGTCAGAGGAGATGAACTGTTATGCTACACATGAAGCACAAATTTATTATTAGTGGTTGGCCTCCATTAATAAGCGCACATATATTTTAAGGCACAAAGAAGTCTGGGGTCATACAATAGCTTCTTTTGGCCCATGATACAGCTAGAACAACAAACACTGCAAGAGAAAGTTTGCTTTTGGCTTTAGATACAGTTAGGCAGTAGGTGAGATTCAGTAACAATGTTGTCTTAAATTTTGTAAACCAATTATTAAGCAACAAGCTTATGAACAATTTGCTATAGCAGCAAGACTTAGCCGTGCTACATAACATTGACGACTTTTGATCTGTCCCTAACAACCAGAGTGTCTTTACAGGAATGCAGGCTATCAGTTTATCAGTTTATGCGGTGTATCAGGTTTTTCTGAAGTATCAAAAACCCAAGCAAACAAGAAATGCATGGCACATCTTACAGTCAGTTTGGAATACCAAATCACAAATCCAAAATATTAACTGAAATGCTACTGAACCTGTCAAATAGCTAGCATAAAGTCTTTTAGTCTAAAATCAAGTCCCATTGTTTCTTTCTGCAGTGTAAGGTTTTGTACTAAAACACAACTTTCAGCTGATTTTTGGCTTTACCTTCTTCTTAGCCTATCTGAATAGCCTTCACGTTCCCAGATGTCCTCCCAATATGCACTGCATGTCAAGCACGCAATTTATAAAGATATACTTCCTTTTATTTCATTCTCTCCCTTGCTGGAAGGGCCAAAAAAGCAGCAAATTATGAGGAGTGTTTTTCCTAATTCATTAAGGATTTTTACTGTCTCAGGCTGCAGCTACAAGCACAAGCTTGTTCTCTCCAGGAAACAGAACTATCAGGACACAGATGAAATAGAAATATCAGGACATAGATTAAATAGAACTGCACCAAACTGGTAGATTTCCACAAATCTTCAGACACATCAGTTCCCTGACTGAGCCAGAACACCAGCTTACTACTGAATTAGATAAGCCTTTTATATATATATATATATATGCATCCATGCAATTCTCTGGTGAGCTGGTCTGGGAGCCAACACGGCTGAAAACTCAACATAAAGATGTATTTTCATCCGGATTAGGCCCCTGAACTGGCTCATGGTGGCTGCACTAGTATTGGTAGCTAGTGGGGGCAAGCAGAAAGAATGGGACCATGGCAGCCTGTGCTTAAAATGACTTAAAATGCAATCACAAACACAGCTACAGCCTCTGTGGATTACTTCTGAAATACAGACACACCTACAAGGCTGCATACTTGACATTGCAAAAAACAGGTAAAGATCTCCGTTATTTCCCAAATCAGTGCTGACAAAGCGTGACCTGCTCAATGAAGTTCAATGAATCAATGAGATGGTACTCTCTTGCAACAAAAAGGAGAATTCTGGCTGTTACGATGAAAAGTGAGTGGTAAACAGTAAAATTCACATTCAGTCAAAAAACTCTGCATTTCTTTTGCAGGGCAATATGGGACAACTCCTTGCCATGGGCCAAACAGACCTTTTCAAACTTTTGTGATGGCCTACCAATTCAACACATTATAATGTTGTGCAAGGAAAAAAGTTGCAGATGGCTGTTTCCCCTTTCCTCATCTATAGGAATAAAAAAAACCCAAACATACTTATTAGTAGAAAAAATTAAATTTCCCCTCACCCCAAATTCATTAACTTTTTTACTTTCCCTCAAATACCTATGCACCAAGTTCATAATCCATAGAAAATACAACAGAACAGTCCTTAGCTGTGCAAGGATTGGGGAAAAAAAAAAAATGGAAGGGAAACAAAAATTGTAACTGGATGACAGTATTTACAATTCTTTTCCCTAGTTTATGAAAGCATTTGGCCAGTATGTATGGAGGTGCAAGTTTATTCATTTTTCATAAATGCATTCTTGTCTTTCTAGAAGGTGTGCACTTTTCTGAAGTGGTAACACTCACTAAGTTAGAGCAAAGGTCTAAACTTGAGACTTTTTCTACTTAACAGCAACAGCATTAGAGGGGGCCTTCTGTGCCATACAATAATTAAAAAAAACCCTAACAGATACAGATTAAAAATCCCAAACTACACAATTTGAGACCACAACAGCTGAATTAAACTAGAGTACCGTTCTCCTGAAGAAGTGTGCCCACTATGGGAATAAATCACTCTTTGAAGAGGCCAGGTAGGGACCCAAAGGTACAACCATTTTAAATACCACGTTTTAAAACCCCAGAAATCTCAGTGAAAAAGACAACATAAAGATGTATTCTCATTATAGCAAAGTTTTCATCAGTTACTGTATAAAATGGGAACTGCAAAGATTTACAACTTGGATTGAAGCCAACTATCAAAACGTAATTTAAAAGCAAGTGCCACAGAGTAAGTGAAGTTAAACTGCCCTGAAAAACAGTAGTGATACTGGATTCACAAGCTTGAGAAGTGGGCCTACGTGAACCTCATGAGGTTCAACAAGGCCAAGGGCAGGGTCCTGTACCTGGGTCAGGGCAACCCCCGGTATCCATACAGGCTGGGGGATGAAGGGATCGAGAGCAGCCCTGCTGAGAAGGACTTGGGGGTGCTGCTGGGTGAAAAGCTGGACATGAGCCAGCAAGATGAGCTTGCAGCCCAGAAGGCCAGCCGTATCCTGGGATGCATCCAAAGCAGTGTGGCCAGAAGGTCAAGGAAAGGGATTCTGCCCCTCTGCTCCGCTCTGGTGAGACCCCACCTGCAGTCCTGCATCCAGCTCTGAAGCCCTCAGCACAGCAAAGACATAGACCTGTTGGAGGGCCACAAAAGTCATCAGAGGGATGGAACAGCTCTCCTGTGAGGACAGGCTGAGAGAGTTGGGGTTGTTCAGCCTGGAGAAGAGAAGGCTCCAGGGAGACCTTACAGCAGCCTTCCAGTACTGAAAGGGAGCTTGTAAGAGAGATGGGGACAGACATTTTAGTAGGGACTGTTGCAACAGGACAAGGGGTAATGGTTTTACACTAAAAAGGGTAGATTTAGACTAGATATGAGGAAGACATTTTTCACCACGAGGGTGGTGAAACCCTGGCACAGGTTGCCCCGAGAAGTGGTAGATGCCCCATCCCTGGCAACATTCAAGGTCAGGTTGGACAGGGCTCTGAGCAACCTGCTCTAGTTGGAATATGTCACTGCAGGGGAGTTGGATTAGATGACCTTTAGAGATCCCTTCCAATCCACATTATGATTCTATGATTGTATGTACCAGCAGGGACACACCCAGATCAAGACAAATGAAGATGCTGCTTGAGTTCATTTTTCTTTTTTTCCCCCTCAAGAACTGTCTTTGAATTGTGACCAGAATAGCCAAAGCAACCTGCCTTTTAAACACATCCCCTCACCCAGGTGTATCTCTGAGGGACTCCTGAGCTTCAGCAAGCTCAGAGAACTCCCACAGAAATGTAAATAAACTTATTGGTATCTAAATGCCATAGTTAAAGCATCTGAAAACTAGCACTTATTTTCCATATACATCCATGGGAATAGTAAACAAAATGGAAGGAGGTCTCAAAAATTCCTTTCAAAAGATCCAAGTACAATGCATGTACAGGTTTGAGTTTTGTTTTTAGATGTACATAACTTCGAAATCCACAACTGCACATAAATCTGAATTAAACCCGAATGCACCTAATATGTCAGATCACTTCATCTTAGTATTAGTTTTTAACCTGCTCACTCACATTTGTTTTGTAACAGGCTTCTGGGTTTTTTGTTATTATTCTACTGCAAAATTGCTTTTAAAATGTTTTATAGTGATTTTTATATCTTTATAGTTAAATTAAAAGCTATATATACACAAATGTACATATTGCCTAAAACCTTCTCTTCAAGAAATGTTTTGATTTGGCTCTGCCTGAAGATTTACATTTTGTCCTTTCTTGATGATCTTCCCTGATTCGTTTCAGGTGACCAGCCCCACACTGCAAGCATTACAGACAACCATGGAAACAAGACCAGAGCACTATCACTGCATACTTGCCACCCAGAGGAGCATCTAAAAGGTGGATAGGAGCACTATCCACTTCACCTCATGCCAAGCCTTTGCTAGGAGCTGTGGTGACAGAGCTACCAGCTGCTCATCAACACACAAAATGAGGGCATAAGTCATCTTGCAGAGAGGCCTGCCACGACTTTCAGCTGAGGCTGTCATCTTCTAAAGCCATTTTCTTTACAGAGCTTTTTTGTTGCGGCTCTTTCACATTTCTTAATTTTTATAACTGCTACATAAGAGTTTCATTTTACATGTATTAGTCTCTTGACACTACTGGGAAAAAAGAAAAACTAAATTCTGGTGCTTTTTTTTTTTTTTAAAGGAGAGACTTAAATCAAAGGTTATGTCTATACAGCAGGCACATAGGATCATGTTTTCTTGAAATAATGCCATTATCTTTTGTTTGAGGGCAAACTCCTCATTGGCCAACCTCCATACTTTTAATGGACATTAAACCTTTTTTGGGTTTCACAGATTCATTTGTTCATGCGTGCTGCTGCTTATGAAGGTATTAAATGACCAGCTGACTCCTTGACCTTATCTGGTTTTCTACAAGAAACATTTTCTATAAATATGTGTGTCTTCAAACACAAATGGAAGTACACTCATACTGGCTGCTATAATCTCATACAATAGATTGCCAGCACACCTACCCTCACATGCCCAAGAAAATGGATACAGAAAAGAAGAGATGACTGCAAATTACCTACAGAAGTCATCCAAGTGTGACTGACTACATCATTCAACACTCGCAAGGAACAGCTACACACAGCGGGGAAAGAAAAAGGGTTATTGCACAAAGTTTCTCAAGGGACACCTACTCAAGAAATTACATTCCCGTACTCTCTGGGTGATATTCTGACAAACA